CCAGAGGACAGCATTTCATAGCACCCCTCCCCTCCTCCAGCTCTGACATTCTTTTACCCCTTCCTGTGGCATCCCCTGAGCTTTGGTGAGTGGTTGACATAAAAGTCCCATTTAGGGCTGAATATATAGTAGTCACTTCTCAGCTCTTTGGCCAATTATGAATGTCTGCACTAACTACTGTCCACTGTAAAGAGAAGCTTCCCTCTGATTGAGGGCAGCGTTAGTTTATGTATGGAAACATAAATGTTTAGAAGACTGTTTGACAGCATGTTTATTTAGCAAGCTATTGTCTTTTTGTTTTTTCTGCTGTTGAAAATCTTTATCTAGGGCTGGAGAGATGGCTCAGTGGTTAAAAGCATTGGCTGCTCTTCGGGAGGTTCCCGAATAGTTCAATTCCCAGCAACCACATGATGGTTCACAACCAACTGTGATGAGATCTGGCACCCTCTTCTGGCCTGCAGAGATACATGCAGACAGAACACTGTATACATAATAAATAAATAAATCTTAAAAAAAAAGGAAACTCGTTATCTAACCTTTCTTTCATGGGAGTGTCTTTTCTTTATCTTTCTTTTGCATACAAAGCATTGTCTCATCAGAACATTTTCAAAGAAAACTTGTTTCGTGGATCCTGTACACTGCCTCTTCACCCCTAGAACCCTGTCCCTATCCCTATTTTGAGATATATATTTGATAATTTAATATATCTCTAATTTGAGATATATTAAACTTGATAATTTTATATATATTAATATATATATTAAATGATCAAGTTTGACTTAGGTCATAGATTTAAACTTTTATCTCCTTATATATCTGATACTTTCAATTTTGTTATAGCTTCATTTAGTAAGCTTTCCTGTGTAATCCAAGGGCTTTAGATGTGCATTTCATGTTTAATCTAAGGAATTTAAATGTGTGTTTCCTAATTTCTAAGCTGTTGGAGATTTCTTATCCCTTTCTCCTTTTTTTAAAATTTATTTTGTGTTTTTAAAAACATTTTATTGATTCTTTGTGGATTTCAAATCATGCATCCCGATCTTATTCATCTCCCTGTCCCTTTATATCTGCCTTCTGCCCTTGCACCCCCACCCCCCACAAAATAAAATAAAACAAAATTTAAAAGAAAAAAAAATTCGTCATGGAAGCTGTAGTATGGGCCGGCGAGTCACACAGTATACCCTTTAGTCCGTACATCTTTACTTGCAGGTGTTCATTGCGTTGAGTCATTAGTCTGGCTTGATGCCTCTGGCTTCTGCTTCACCATCAGTACTGAACCCTCACAGGGTCTCTTCGTGGATATCCTGTTGTTGCCCTGTGTCATGGAGACCCTGCTGCTTTGGATCCTCAGGACTGGCCCCTTCACATGCTCCAGTAGATCATAGATGGTGTGGGCCAACTCATAGCCCTGGTTCTGGGCCTGGGCGGTAGTGGGGTTGGTCATCCCGCTAGCTCTCCCTCATCCTCACCACCAAGGTGAGCTCTCCAGAGTTGCCCAGGCTAGCTCACCCAATGAAGCAGGTAGCAAGGAGCTGGGCCAGTTCTGTTCTCACACCTTCAGGGGGCCCAGCTCCCCTGCACCCACATTGCCTCTCCTATCTCCCTTCTTCTCATTTTTAATATCTAGCTTACTTGCTCTGTAGTCAGAGAGTATGATCTCAAGATTTTGATTCTTGAACTCATTGAAGCTTGTCTGTGACCTTGTGTATGGCCAGTCTTGATATATGGCTCATGAGTTCTTTAAAATAATCTGAATTTTGTCATTATAGGGTTCCCTAATAGCAATTTGTCAATTTGGGTTATTGTGTATATTTTCTCCATTCTTATTGATTTTGATATCTGTGTGTTCTGTTAGCTATTGAATGATTACGAAACACCATGATTGAGCTTTAATTCTGTTCTGTCTCTCACACACACTTACACACACATTTGATGAATGCACATTTAAAGTTATCATATACTCCTGATAGCTTGGTTTCTTTATTAATCCCTCATGTTAATTTTAATAGTGATTCTTACCTCAAAGCCTGATTCATGAGATATGAATATACCTATACTAGCAGTATTTTGGCAAGTGCTTGTAAGAAATATCTTTGTCTTTTGAATTTTTATTTATTTGTGGAGCATGGTCATGTCATGGTGTGAGTGTGGAGATGGGGGGGAACCTCAGAAGCTGGTTCTCCTCTGGGTAGGTCTATTCAACTCCTGTCATCAGGTTTGGCCACAGGCACCTTCACCTGCTAAGGTGTCTCACTGGCTCTGTGTACAACTCCACCAGGCTTGCTCCAGGTCAGATACTCAAGGTTATTTGGAGAGCATTATTTTTTAAATCTAGTCTGATAAGCCTTTTTCAACTGAACTATTTTACTACTATGACATTTAGTGTAACTATGTTTGTGGTTAAACTATGTTTAATCTCTCCATGTCCCATTTGTTTTGTTTTCATTTTTATTTCCTTTCTTCCTTTTAGTTTAAAATTTGGTAGTTGATTTTTCTTCCTTTAGCTTGTTTTGCTTCTGTGTTATCTTATCCTTCAATGATAACTTTAGAAAATACAACATGCATCCTTATTACTGTCTAGTAAAGATGTCATTATGACCTCTTTCTCAGTAGCAGAAGGAGCAGAAAACACTTTGTCTTGTTCTTTTTTGTGTTTTGTGTTATCCTGCCATACATTTTATTATATACAATTTTCTGGCCCAACAAGATATTATCTATACTGTCGTGTAACATTAATGTCTATTTATGCATATTCACAGAGTGTTTCTTTAATGTTGTTTCTTTGTTCTAGCATTGCTTGTTTCTGCCTAGGATCATTTTTCTTTTTTAGAAGAACTCCCTTCCTGAACGTGTTTAGTGCTTTCCTGCTGACATGGACACTCTGTTTTTATTGTTCTAAAAATGTCATTATTTTATATCTATTTGAATAAATTTATCATCCTGGTGGAAATCTAAGTATATTAAAATTCCTATGTAAGATGCCATTTGATACTCTTAAAGATGGACACAAAATAGATTGAGCTTCAAATATTTTGATTTATAATATTTATGTTGATATTGCTGCTCTAGTCAGTACTGTGTAATTGCTTCTGATATTGTCTTTCTAACAGAGTTTGGACAGACAATGCTTTAATCAAGAGTCAGTTCTGCCATTTACTACTGTATCACCTTGACCAAGTCATTTAGCTTCTCACAGCCAGTTTCCTCACCTAAGAGTTGGAAACAAGTATCTGATTTTGGCTTGTTTCACTGGGGAGGTCTGAGTTTGTTGTGATTCACATGAAAGTGCTTTGTAGTCAACTGGAAAGCTTTAATGTTGCTTTGCTTATTAGAACAGAACCATTTTCAGAATTCTCTTACATGTATGCATTTCCATAACAAACCATGGAATAAATTCTGTGTTCATGTGTTTATTTGTGTATACTCTCCCCTTACTAAACACTGTGTTAGAAGTTATATAAATATAGCTTATAAACACTCTATTACAAACTCGTTTTTTTCGTCTTTCAGAAAACCACTATGAAAAGAGGGATCTAGCTGTTAAATCATTCACAATGCCCACAAGATAAAAACAGCCTATTGTTTCTTAATACTAGGTCAGGGAAGACTTTAAAGGTCATGGTCATTTTCTTTGTAATGTGGAACCATTAAGAACATGTTCCTGTCGGCTCAGAGGTGACCACTTGACACGGTGAATCCACCTCAGAGTTGGGCTGGTCACTGATTCTCAGCCCCTGTTTCATGGTCCCCAAGGGAGAGTTAGACATTTTAATGTGAGCAGCAAATAGTTTCCCTCCCTTTCTACCTGCAAATGGATTCTATTCAGAAAGCGAGTAAATAAGCCTGCTTGCTTTTCAACATGCACAGCGCACACAGAGGCCAGGTCAGGCTGATAAATTAAAATTTCCTTCTGCATACATAGCTTTCAAAAACTACCTTAGGCAGGTAATATGCAGCCTCATTTTGTTTGTCTTTCACAGGAGCTAATTTAAAAATTCCCAGCTACATTAATCAAATCTTAGACTCTTTACTCTGTGCAGACATTTTGCTATTGGACTGTTTATTTTTCCTTTGGAGAAAGTAGTGTTCAGGTCTCTCTCTGTACTCCATCCTTTGTTGGGTCTTGGATTTGTGTGCAGCGTGCCTACATGCATATGTGTGTGCCTATGTGTCCCTGGGTATGTGTGTTTCCCTCTGTGTGTGTCTCTGTCTGTCTGTCTGTCTGTCTTTTGGGTCCAGGAGAATAGGTAGTCTGTAAACAAACTCAAATCGATGCTGGTACATTGGCTCTAATATGAGGACACACACACATGTGAGCTTGTTCCACCTTGTCTGGAGGTCAGAGAATTTGAGCTTATTTTTGTGTTTCAAAGTTGTGGCTACAAAACAAGATATCTTGAGCTAGGGTGTGATTACTTGGTGTTTTGGACATTAAAATGGCCCATAGAGGTGGATCTGTTCCACCGTGACCATCGGTCAGAGAATTTAAGCATACTCCTATGATTCTTCTCTAAAATATGAGGTTTGACATAAGGGGTGGCTGCCTACAGGATACTTGATACACTGCACATTCCTGCCCAAACATTAAATACTTTACTCAGGAAATAATGGCTTGATGTCTCAAGTATTGAAACAAGTAACTGTTCTGGTTGTCCTTTGTGTCATGTTAAAGTAGTCTTTTACCTTCTTCCCCCTGTTTTATATCGGAATATGAAAGTGTATGGAAAATAAATGTGGGCGAATTAGCATTCATTATCTGCTGAGTTGCCCCTCCTGGTACTGTCCTATGTCTCTGTGTTTCTTTCAAATCTCTGTTCTTCCTACCTGACATTTCTAATCCTCATGCCCCTAGCCTGGAATGTACGAACCTTATGACAGACGGCAGCCCAGAGTGGTGCTTACAACAAGCTAATGCCCAATATCCGTGAGGTTTTTCTTGATAGACAAATTTTATATGGGATGTTTGTTCTCTGTTTAAATGTTTTGATTTTTGTCTGCAGGTCACTGGCATGCATTTTATACGAGATGTGTTGCTTGGATCACGCGTTTGCTGGTTCCAGTTTCTTGTCTGTGGTTTTAAATATTGTTGAAGGCAACACACCTTCACTTCCTGAGAGATTCTCACGAGAACTAAACACCATCATGGAATGGTATGGCAGCAAGTCTGAATGAGAGGCCATTGAAGTTTCATTCCTCTGCTTGAAATGAACTTTGGTTTTTGTTCATTTGAAAAGTAATTTTCTTTTTTAATATTACAGCATGTTGAACAAGAGTCCTTCCTTGAGACCATCTGCTATAGAAGTTTTAAAAATCCCTTACATCGAAGAGCACCTTCAGGTACTGGAAATGAGAGTGGTATCAGGGCCACCTACCATTCTGTGTCTCAAGGTTATGCTGTGGGACTCAGATATGGTTAAGAATCAGTCAGAAAATTGGGAGTATGGGGGTGGGGGAGAAGGGAGGGCAGAAGAGGAAGAGGAGAGAAAAAAGGGAAGGGGAGGAGAACTTGAAAGAATGAGATAGAAGAGATGAAAGAAGGACAGAGATGAGAGCAAGGAAAGAGAGATTTTGATTGAAGGAGCCATTACGGGGCTAGCAAGAAACCTGGCACTAGAGAAATTCCTGGGAATCCACAAGGATGACCCCAGCTAAGACCCTAAGCGATAGAGGAGAGGGTGCCCAAACTGGCCTTGCCCTGTAGTCTGACTGAGGAATATCTTAAATGTCACCATAGAACCTTCATCTAGCAACTGATGGAAACAGAGGCAGAGACCCACAGTGGAACACTGGACTGAGCTCCCAAAGTCAGGTTGAAGTGAGTCAGGAGGAGTGAGAATATGAGCAAAGAGGTCAAGACCATGATGGGTTCACCCACTGAAACAGTCTACCTGAGCTAATGGGAGCTCACCAACTCCAGCTGGACAGGGAAGGAAACAGTGTAGGTCCAAACTAGTCCCTCTGAATGTGGGTGTCAGTTGTATGGCTGGGGCAGACTGAGGGGCCATGGGCAGTCTGCTTGTACTGTCTTTATTGGGGGACCCATTCTCTTTGGATGGATACCTTGCTCAGCCTGGATATAATAGAGAGGGCCTTGGACCTTACTCAAAGCAATGTGCCTTACCCTTTCTGAGGAGTGGAAGATGGGGGGTGAGGTGGGGAGGGGTTAGGTGGAAGGAATGGAAGGATGGGAGGAAGTGGGAACTGGGATTGGTATGTAAAATGAACAAAAGATAGTTTGTTTTCTTTTTCTGAAAAAAATAAAATAAATTATATATAATATATAAAATAAATTATACACACACACACACACACACACACACACACACACACACACATATATATATATATATATATATATATATATATATATATATATATATGAATCAGCCAGAAAGGAGGAAAGCAGGACTTAAGCGAAGCCAAGAGGAACACTGGGAAAATCTCTCTACAAAGCAGGCTACACAAACTCTGGCTGCATGATGCCATGAGACATGGGAAGCTGGAGTTCTAATTTTCTGCTTAAAACCGTTGTTATCTACCCAGTGGCTCTGAGATTGACAGATCTTACCTGAACACTTTGAAATCCATCCCTGTTAATACAGGAATATACGGCTAAGAATATGTAAATCTGGGATTTTCACTGAGCTGTTATTATTCCCTCCTTAGGACACGACTTAGCGTCTTCAATTGACCAGGTGTCTCTTTTCTTTTCCTTTGCGTTGGAGAGCTTGATTAGACAGAGGGTCTGTCTAGGATGTAAGAAGCTAGCTGTTCTCTCCAAGGCTTTTCCCTTTTATGACCCTCTCAGGCATTTGCCAGCTCCTCAGCAAGTTTCCTCTGTTATGAATAAGTCTAACAGGAACCACCGGGTCATCTGCCTTGTCACGGGTGCCTACTTTTCACCAGTGGGGTAAGATCTAAATCAGAGGATGCAAAGACAACAGTGAGGTGTGCTCAACTATGAGATACAGTGCTGACCCCAGGAAGGCTAAAAAGAAAGGGGCAGGCATGGTCTGCTCTGCTGACGTTTGTCTGCTAGAGTAAGAATTCAGTAGCCGAGGAAACGTAAGGAACATGAAGAACCAAGAAGAAAGGGGACTGGGTCTTCACTAAGAATAAAGAGAGAGAAGGGCTCTTTGGTAGTCTTAGATGTTGACACATCTTAACAGCGGGAAGACGCAGCCAGCCATGTAAACAGTCTAAGAGGAGAACTTGAAGAAGGTATCAGATCCCCCTGAACTAGAGTCACAGACGTTTATGATCTGCCATGTGGGTGCAGAAAAACAAACCAGGGTTCTCTGGAAGAGCAGCCAGTGCTCTGAACTGCTGAGCCATCTCTCTAGCTCTGCAGTATTTCAGAATCAATATCACCCTGATAGCAAAATATAAAAATTTAAAGAAAACTCCACCAAGGCCAAGTTTGGTGAGAGGCACACGGGGTATAGGTTTAGGGTTTAGGGTTGGACCTTGTCTGTAAGCATATGGAATTCTGTTCTTCATGGGTTTGGGCACTGATTTTCATTTCACAGATGCTGCCGTGTATTAAGGAAGTACCTCCCCTGCTTGCTGAGGTCTGGGTTACACCTTTGAATCTTGTACCTTAGCTAAGTGTCTCATTTGCCTAATGTCCATCTCGTCGGGGTGAGAGGGTTGACATTGACGGTTAAAGGCCGAGAGATGAGTGAGTATTCCTGGAGCTGAGGGAAGGTCTGTTGGTGCATCGTGGGGGATGAGTGAGGAGGGAGAGACAAGGACAAGGTGAAGTTAGAGAAGAAGGCAGGAGCTCCTTCTGGGGGATCTCACACAACCTGCAACACCATCTAATTTAACCCTTCAGAGAGAGAAAGAACCGCTGCTGTGAGTTTACCTCAGTGCTTTGCTGTGGTCAGGAAGATCAGTCCTCGTGCCCTTCCGTTGCTGGAAAGGGGTTCTAAGGCCATGGTGGTTTCCTTCATTTCAGCACCTGATGTGTAAATATTCAGACGCGACGCTGGAAGGCAAGAACTCGGTTTGTCAGAAGGATGCTGTTCATATAATTAGTGCCATGTAAGTAATTGCTTTATTTTTAACAAGCCCATTCCATGTAAATGTTAAGTGTGTCCATCTTTAAAAATCTATTAGCGCTAAGCTGACTGTGCAGGGCATCCTAGATTGCACTTAAATCTTGCCAGGAAATTAAGAAGCTTCGGTAACGTGGCATTCAAGAGCCATTTGCCCCGGGTGATCGCAGGCTGAAATCCTGACTGTCTAAACCTCCACACACTCACAGATCTGCAGGGCAGCACCACAGTTACCCTGTGATGGCATAGAGTAGTGAATATCTCAGACATTTAGGAATGTTTCTGCTAATGAGTCTTCTATCAGAAACCTAAGTGGCTTCATATGGTATATGACAAGAGTGTGTATCTATGGGAAGAGAGTGCTGTAGGCATTTGGGGGGTAAAGCCAAAATTCACTTTCTTTACGTATTATACACACTATCTCTCTAGAAAAATAAAAAAGATAAGGTACTTTCCAAAAGAGCAACAATAATTTCTGGGCCTGACACCTTTCTCATTCAAGAAATTACTTTGGTTTAACTTGTCAAAGTACAGATGGTGGGCAGCTCCAATGCAGTGGTGGGCACCTGTACAAGCAGTGAATTACAGATGCCAGGGGCCCCCTTCTTAAAGATGGAACCTATGATTTTGCTGATGGGACTCTGCTTTATTTTATAAGGATCCAAAGGCAATGGCTCTACCTCCCCAGTGGTATGAGAAGAAGAGCTCCCAGGCTGATAAGAAGCCCCCGGGCTGATACAGGAGAACCCCAGGCTGACCTTCAAGGCCAAATAGCCAGATACTCTCCTACTCTCAGATGACTCACACTGAGGGCAGACACACTTCTCTGACACACTCACACCCCAGGGCAGACACGCTCCTCTGACACACCCACTCACTTACCCCAGTACAGACACTCTCCTCTGACACACATACACACACACACACACACACACACACACACACACCAGTGCAAACACTTCCTCTGACACAAACACCTCAGTATGTACACACTCCTCTGACACACACATGTGCGCATGCACACACACCAATGCAGACACTTTCCTCTGACACACACACACACACCCAATGCAGACATTCTCCTCTGATACACACACTAACCCTAGTGAAGACACTCTCCTCTGACACACACACACACCCAATTCAGACACTCTCCTCTGACACACACACACACTCACCCCAGTGCAAACGCTCTCCACACACACACATACACACACACACACACACACACACCAGTGCAGACACTCTTTTCTGACACACACACACACACACACACACACACACACACACACCAGTGCAGACACTCTTTTCTGACACACCCCAGTGGTTTCTCTACTGTGTCCTATATGTTTTCCCAGCCTCACAGTCCACCTAACAAGCGCGCACCTGGAAAGGTCCCTTGGGGTAAATTTATAGACAGGTTTCTAATGATTATTTTCTTGTGTTGCTACCCATTATTTCAAGAAAGTCTAAGTTTTAGTTTTGTTTATAGGTGTGAGAATAGAGGTTATCTTATTTTTAAAATAGCAAATTTAGCTATCATTTTGCACAGCAGTTGCGGGGCAGATTGCCTAGCACAGTTTACAGTCAATTGCATGCTGGAAATCAATTGTCAGGAGGGCACTTCACACTGTAAAATATTGATTTCAGATAGTCCCCTTTATTTTCAAGATCTGTGGTTATGTTGCAGGAGGAGTTCATTAAGTCCTACAAAATAAGGAGTGCATATTCCTGATAAATTGTCCCTTCCTGGGACACTGTGGTCTGGATGATATTCAGTTTCTCACAGTGTTTCCTAAGGAAGAAGCTGAGGTCACTGGGAATGTAACCTCAGGCCTTGCCATCCTTGTTTAGTGTGAGTGGTTTCTTCAACTTAAAAAAAAATAGGTTCTTCAATAAATGAGGGATGGCCCTGTGAAGTAGGTGGCAATGTTCTCTTTCATAGTTACACAGACAGTCCGTAACCTCCAAGAGACATGCGGTGTGTAACCCCGGAGCTACAATTTGAGCCTAGGGAGTATTATTAACCTTCGTAGTTACCCACTGGACCATGCTACCATAAAATGTCTATGGGAGTGAGCCCAGATAATATAAGCCGTTGAAGAAAATACAGTTGTTATAATGTCACCCTTGGGCAGTGTGCATACATTATCCCACATGATGCTCACTGTAACACAGCCTGCTCTTTACAGAGGTAGAAACCTGGGTCCTCTTTCTGCCCTTGGCTACAGAGAGGATGGGTGGCAGAGGTAGGTAGAATCCTACCTTAGCGGAGGTAGGATTCACCATCTTTCCAAAGACCGCGAGCTAATCCTGCCCAGAGACGAGTGACTGTGGCCGCCTATTTCCTCTCTAACGGCATGATCCTAATTTGGCTTCCATTAGAAAGGCCAGCCATAGGCAACGAAATGAGCAGGAATTTGGAATGTACACAATTTGCTTTTAAGCAGAAATCTAATTTGAAAAATAATGCTGATTAACTCCAGTCCTTATTGGCTCATTACCCACTTGGAGTTTATTAGATTTTCCTGGCCTGCCCTGAGACGCTGCCGCTCTCTCCATAGAGCAATGATTCTTCTGTAAGATATTTGTTTATTCTTTTTTTCTGAGCATGTTTGGTATGAGTTGCATGTTGGGGAATGTTTATTACTTCTAGGCAGAAAAAGATCCACCTGCAGACTCTGCAAGCCCTGTCTGAAGTGCAGAAAATGACTCCGAGGGAAGGGATGCAACTGAGGAAGCTGCAGGCCACTGATGAGAAAGCCAGGAAGCTGAAGTAAGCTGCCTTTCCTTTGGGTGCCCCGTGCCCTGCGCTGCCTAACAGTGCTCTCAAAGAACTCACACAAGGAAGGCAAAAGCCAAAACCAAGGCGCACATGATCACTTATGCCTTCGTTCACCTGCTCCCCCGAACAAGGTTCCTGAGCCAGAGATTGGATGTCAAGTACTGTTTACCTCAGATGTTCAGGCCTGTGTGAAGGTGGACTGAAAGGTAGGGAGGTTACTAGTGATGAGAATGTGGGCAGGCTCTAAAGGAAACTTCATTGGCTGCTGACACTTGGACCTATCCCATCGAGAAGCCGAACAGAACAGCTTTACAATTTAGTCTGCCTTCGTTACTTTTCCCATTGTTTGATGAAGTGCCCTGAAAGAAGCAACTTAAGGGAGAAAGGCCTGCTTTGGCTCGCTGTTGGAGGGTGCAGTCCTCCAAAGTGAAGTCACAGGCAGTAGGACTGTGAAGAATGGTTATTGAGCATCCTTGGGTTGGGAGGCAGCTCATTTGTTTGCTGAACTCTGTGGGGTAAATGTTCTTATCATGGCCAGTTTCAGGTTACCAGGTGATATTATGGGTTATTCAGTTGGGAAGATTTATGTGCAGTCTGTTGTTGAGAGCCAAAGCATGCTGGTCCCTATAAACCACTGATTGTGGCTCTAACTGAGGAAATATATGCCCTGAAATTATTTGAATTATTACATCAACTCAGAGCTTCAAATCTGTGTCTAAATGCAAGTAATGTTAATGTCTCCGAGGTAGCAAAATTCATGTCATTGGTTGAATGTTATGGGGGATTCAATCTGAAAGGAAGATATAAAAAAGGTAAATGTAATATTTTGCATGCATATTAAAATCATTATACAGATTAAAATTATTTATAGGCAAAAGAATAGCATAAATATTCCACAGGCTATACTAATATTGTTGCAATTTGATCTTAATTTTATAAATTAGTTGAATTAGAATTTTGACCATTGTTTCTAGGATTCTAAAGGGGCCATATATATTATTTAATGTCATTGAGACATGCCAACACTGTGCACAATCTTAGTTATTATATAGTATGAAAACTGAAGCTTGTGGAAGTAAAGAATTATAGTGGTTTCTGGAGAGAGGCGGGCATGTTAGACAAAAGGAATCCTAAGCCCTAGAAGTCTGTCATGCGTTATGGAGACTAATAATACAGAATTGGAGAGTTGAAAGCTACTTGGGCAGTAGATCTGTTACCACTTCCACAGTGCTCACACGTTCCCTGACATGTGCTTCTATTGTCCTGTATACAGGTTTGCTCATCATGAAGCAGAATAAATCAGTGTCTTCACAGTCAGGATGCTCAGGGCCGAGTGCTATCTTCTCCTGATATTCCAGAGGTTCCAGAGTTGACAAAGGAGCCATAGCTTCCCTGTGTGTGCTTCAGAAGAGCACTTTCACTTAAAATTTTAAAGAGAGAAAGACTCATTTAGGGTGCCGCACCTTGAGGGACAGACCTGATAACCCAGTCTGCCTGTTAAAATAGTGATCATGCTTGTTTGTATCCTATAGATATGCTTAAACATCTTGTACTGATTTTTATACATTCACATTAAATTTACAGAAAGATTGTGGAAGAAAAATATAAAGAAAATAGCAAGCAGATGAAAGACTCAAGATTCCAGGAGTTTGAACCTCTAGGAGTTGGTGTGCCCCATGTAAGCATCCCTATTTCATGTTCACATGGAATGTTTTCTTGCTTTGGGTACTTCAGATTCACTGAGCTAGATGTGTAGGAAAAGGGTAGAAAACCCCCAGACGAACTTGGCCCAGCTCAGGGAGGGCTCTACAAGTAAGTCCACAGCGGATGGTGACCCTAGCGTAAAGCAGCTTATGTCTGGAAGTGGACCAGTTGATTCAGCCCTCACCCAGCCAGTGGCTACTGTTTACAAAATAACTGAATTTCCCTGAATGCAAAGATTATGGTTAAGATGATTAATTAATAGAACAAATATGCACATATCTGATTTTCACTTCTATCCTGTGTGTTTTACCTCTCCAGTCTGTCAATCCATTTTTGTCTTATTATTATTTTTTAACCCTTTATTTTCTGTTTTCTATCCATCTATCATGCACTGTGATAAGAATGTCATTCAAACAGAAGAACTACCACAGATATCTGATAGTGAATAAATAGATTTGCGGGACCCCTCTTCCTGTACTTCTGCATTTGAAATCTCTGAGTGGCAAACACTGTTTTCATTCATGGTTAGAATATCTCTCTGGGCCTTGGTGGCAGGATCTGATACTAAGGTAGTCTATGTGAGGGGCCATGTGGGGCAGCTGACGTCAGCCTCACACAGCACATTCATTGGGGCAGAAAACCTTTGTGATGTTCACCCAGAGGATGAACAAGACTGAAAACCAGGCATTTCCAAGCTGATAAGGTTATGAAGATTCTGTGTGTGTTAATGTGTTCAAACTGTTTGCTCAATCGCCAAAATAAATTGGGGTGCTTATTTCTGGAATACCGGGAACCCTTGAGATCAGAAACATTTCTTTGCTAAGACTGGAGCTTGAGAACCAGATATGGTCTCTCTTTTTTTGTATTATGATGCCCAAATGGCCTCCCTCCCTCTTTTCCTCCCTCATTCCCTTCCTTCCCTTCTCCCTTCCTCCTTCCCTTCTCCCTTCCTCCTTCCCTTCTTTCCTTCCTTCCAGAGAGGGTTTTATTATGTGTCTCTGGCTGTCCTTAACTTCATGAGCCTCCTGCCTCAGCCTCTCAGGGGCTGAGATTACAGGCATGAAAAGCCACACCAAGCCCTGCTTTTATTTCGCAGTTATCTATGGCAAATAAAAAGTAAGGTCTTTTGTATTAGAGACTGATAATCTACTTCACCTGTTTGGTTTATTCTTTGACCTTTAAGATAATCATCTTGATGTTTGATGTAATTATTGCCAGTGTTCTGAGCAGACTATATGACACATGGTGTAGCTGAACAGCTATGGAAGCCAAAGCCCTTGGTAATCTCTGCAAACTGGGGTATTAAGGTAATAACAAGGATCTCAAGGCTGCATGTCAGGCAGAACCTGAAGAGATTTTGTTATCCACATGTTACCACACAGAACATGGAGCCAGAGAAAGCATCTTCAATTTGGCCCAGCTCAGATTAAGGAAGAGGTCACACTAAGATCCTGTTGTTCCCAGCATACATCCCCAGTGACTTCCTGGGAGAGTCACTTTTCTTGATGCTGTAACAAAATTCCCAACACAAGCAACTTAAGGAAGGCTTTTGCTTTGGGGAAGAGTTTTGAGGAACTTGTAATTTGAAACTCTAGTCCATAATGGCTGCGGAGTAGTGATGGCAAGGACATTGCGACTGCACTCAGGACGCAGGGACTGTCACTGCCCAGCTGACTTTCTCATTTCAGCCAGCCTAGGACCCAGCCTGTGGGCTGATGCTGCCCACATTCAGAGTAGGCGTTTCTTGTTCAGCCTTTCTGCCAGCACTTAGGTAGGCACACCCAGAAGTGTGTTTCCATAGTGATTCTAAATCTCATCCAGTAGATAAGTAAGACTGACCCTCATGCTTTCCTTTCTCTCACCAAGTAGTGTGTGTGTGTTTGTGCATGTGCCCCAGTGTGTACATACATGCACACACAGTCCTGTCCTGGCTAAAGGTTTTGGTTCATTCTTTGAGTTTTCTGAGGTTTAGTACCACTGTCACTGGTTCGGAACTTCTCAGGAGTGTTTTCTGAGTTTGTATATGGATAGGAGCACTGTTAGCATGGCAACATAGGAACAATAGGCTGTCAGATGTCTAATAAGCTCTGCCTTGCTTCCGATGCTGCTGACTAAGAATTATATCCCATTAGTCAGGGGCAGAAAGCGGGGCTCCTGAACATGACCATCCTCCCCTAGATGAAGGAAGAACTGGAATGGCACCACTGAATAGATCTCTTATCTCTTTAGAGGAAAAAATCATTTAATGGGAGTGGAAGAAAAGGAGGCATGACCTGAGGGGAAGACTTTCTTGTTCACCCCAGGCAGAGGAGGGAGCAGGGCAGTCAGGCAGGGAAGAGGCAAGACTTAATTATACTCACAGGCACAAGCTGGAGACAGGCTTAATGATATTCACAGAACAAAGGAAGAAGCTAAACACTCTGCAGAGGCCTGAAGGGTTTTCATCATCTCGGGGAAAGGCATTGTTGAACTAAAAAGGATGAAATAAAATATGACAGAAACTGGATTAATCAGATGCAAGAGGCTGAAGGAAAACCCGATAAAGGAAAAATGGACTTGTCTTCAAATGCATTTCCTCGTTCCTCTTCTCTCCGTTTTGATAGCTTCATTTCTTCCTAAGCTCATTGAAGCTCTGCTCTCACAATTCCTTCTTCCTCTCTTGCCAGGCTGGAATGAACTCCTCTGTGCTTCACTGTGGAGAGTGTGTTCATGTGTGTGCATGTTCATACATGCATGTATGTGAAGACTAGAGGGGAATATTGGGCTCCCTCTCTATTCCTCTTGACCTTATTTTGTGAGTGCGTGTCTCCCACTCAACCTAGAGCTCGTTGATCACGCTATGCTGGCCAGGCAGCAAACCCTGGGGATCTTACTGTCTCTGCCTTCCACCTTTGGGATTAACATCTGCCTTTTTCTTTTAAATCCAGATCCTAGGAATCTGAATTCAGGTCCTCATGGGCCATATCTCCAGAACCCCCTTCATATAACTCAGAAACAGTTAGAAGAGGGACAGTTTTGAGAGTGAATGCCCCCCCCCCCCCAGTATGTCATTGATAAGAAAATTCCTTAAGTCATTCAGGGGAGTGGCTTGATTTGTTTTCAGACTTATTTGACAATGATTTTATTTTGACTGGCATTTTCTGCTTGACTGAATTGGGGTTTTGAAATCTTGAAGCCCAGCTGAGTGTGGAATCATGCTTGACTCCATTTCTTAAGAGGATAGCAGCTTAGAAAACAAGAGAAACAAAGAAAACCCACAGTACCATACAAGGCAAGCCCAAGCCCAAGCCCAGGCTGTCCTTTTCCCGTGGCATGTACAGTTGTACTGGCGCTAGACCTGGGCTCCAATGTGTGCTGGGAATGGGAGTCCGGTGCTTCTCTTCCTAAGAGTGGCAGCTCTAGCAATCCTGTCCTCTCCAGAGAGAACCTCGGTGATTCTTTTGAGATGCCTTCTGAAGGGCATGCAGCATTGATAGCCCGCAGTCTCCTTGTTCTTTGGATTCTGTGCGGACCAGCAGTGAAACTTTGCAATCTGGACCCAGCTGTACCTCCTTAAACAATGACCAGACCATACAGAGAGCAGACTTCTTGGCAATACTTTCAGAACACCTTCTTATAAAATTGCCTTGCTGCGGTGGGGCCTGGCTTCATAGGACTTACTCATTTAATATTACTTTGGACTTAATGTCTTTCTTAACAAGGCAGTCTTTGAATAGTTACCCCCATGAGAAAATAGGGCAATTCAATATTATGTGTAGTTTGCAAACACACACACACACACACATACACACACACCCATGTAAAAAAAAAGTAGTAAACTACAAATGGCTTATTGAAATTCCCATTCATAAATCTGGGCATTTTAACTTTTATTTTTATTTATTTAATTTTTGTTTTGTTTGGTTGAGGCAATATCTCACATTGCACAGGCTTACTTCAAACCTGCCATTTAGTCCAGGATTACTTAATGTTCCTGCCTCCACCTCTGTGGTGGTTTGAATGAGAATACTCCCCACCTGCACCCCGCCCCACCCTGCCCCCATAGGCTTATACATTTGAATGCTTTAGTCACCAGAGGGTGGAACAGTTTGGGAAAGATTAACCTTAGGAGGTATGGCCTTGTTGGAGTAGGAGTGGCCTTAGTGGAGGAACTGTGTCCCTGGGAGTGGTCTTTGAGGCCCAGTTTCCCTCCCTGCCTCCCTCCCCTCTCCTCTTTTTCCCAGCTGCCTGCCAATCAAGATGTAAAGCCCTTAGCTACTGCTCCATTGCCCTGCTGGCTGCTTCCTGCCACGATGATGATCGTGGACTAACCCTCTAAGACTGTAAGCAAGCCCCTAATTAAATGCATTTCAAAATAAGAGCTGCCTTGGTCTTGGTGTCTTTTCATGGCAATAGGGCAGTAGCTAGGACAGTTTCTCCAGCAGGAATTATAGGCATGCATTTACACAGGGCTGGGGATCGAGCACAGGACTTCTTTTATTCCAGGAAAGCGATCTACCAACTAACACACATTTCCAACCCTATCTTTTATGTTTTCGAAGCGTGAATTCTTTAATCATTTCTTAGATATTTGTCTTTTAGGAAATTGAAATTCTCAGACTCAGGACATGTAAATCCCAATGAGACATGGGAGCTATTCAAGCTGGTTAGTTTTGAAATGAAGCCGAGAAGGAGTGGAATGAGGAGAAGTTAGGTGGGATACAGTGGGTGCACATTGGAGAGAGATGCTTGCTTCTAGATGCTGATGGAGCCTGTATTTGCCTGAACCTTTGACTTAGCTCCCTGGCTAGCTTGCTTGGCTCGCCTAGTTATGGCCTAGAAACTGATTCCTACAGAGAGAGGTTAAATGCTTTGCCCAAGTCTGGTTCACTTATCCTGAGTTACCAACCCAAAGTTTGAAAATGTTACCAGGCTTAAGGGAGAAAAAGGTTGCTTCATTTGTGGCAGGGCCGTTTTCTTCTGTCTGCTTCTCATCATTTATTGATTCCCTTCCACAAGGAATTAGATGAACGGACTTCCGAGAACCTGCCTGACCCTCAGTCCCTTCCTTCCCTGGACCTCGGCGAAGTAGAGTCAAGTTTAGACGACACCATAGTTGGCCTTGGACATTATGGTATGTGTTTGTGTCACCTGTTAGCAGGTACTTGTCCCCATGAATGTGACTACCTGCCATTGCTGCCCAGCCCTGGACTGTGATGTTCAGGTCCTTTGTCCTTTCTGTCTTCATGGCAATAGTGAAGATGGGTTAGAAACTTCTGGTGGGAGACTTCATTTCCTGGGTTAAACAATATTGTCATTAACCTGATTGGGAATTCCCCAAAGCTCTACTCCCCTTTTTCATGAATGGCTCCCCTGCTCCTTTGATATATTTAAATTAAAGGCATGAAGCAGACTTTGCAAGAGCCACTGTTCAGAGGTATTTACTTGCTGGAAAGTAAGAGTGTTCAGAGCTGTTACCCAGCTGGAGGTGCTGCATGCCCTCTAGAGAGGAAGGCCCTGGCTACAGGGTCTTTCTGGGTCTTTGCTGCCCTACCCATAGAACAGGAATAACGAGTCCTCCTTTGATTATTTTCAAGAGCAAACAAGGTTGGGCATGGATGTTCTCTTAGCTTAGTGCCTAGCATAGTAAGAATGGAAAAAAGAAGCAGTTACAACACTTTGAGGATATTTTTGAATGCAAAAGTCTTGTTCACCAATATCCCTCTTGCCTAGAATAACACACCAGGTGTTGATTGCCTTTGGGTGGGCTACTCAGTCTAGGGGTTGTAACCCACCCGGCAGTCAGTTATTCCAGGGTCCCGGAGAGGCACTGTCTGTAAGATATGAGCTGAGAGAGAGGAAGGAGGCCATGCTAAGTTTGTCAGAGCCTCCGTTTATTAGAGACAGGGTACAACTTTTATAGGGTAAAGAGTTGGGGGATGGGCACAGGGGCCTGGGCTCTTGCCTCGTGGTTCACATTGGTCACATGGTCCGAGTTGGTCACATAGGCAGGAGGTTATCTTCGGTCAGGTCACTGTAGGCCAAGAAGTCACAACTAGGAGATGACACACCTAGTTCTTTAGATAGTTTGGAATGTGGGATGGGTTCCGCTAACAGATAGCTCTCCATAAACAGCCAATTTGGGTGTGGGGTAGGCTCTGTCAATAGAACGATTGCTAACACAATTAAGGGTGTGGGGTTCTCTGCAGACTCCCCAGGGTGATGGTTCCTGTAATGATTTTAGGAGGAAATTGGCTCCTAACAACCAGGAATATTATTCTCAGTATTTCTTGAATGAATTTATTATTAATTAATGAGTAGATGAAGAAATGAATGGATGCTATATTAATTTAGACCCTTAAAAAGCAAATGACAGCCGAGATCGGGTGCGTTTGCGATCAAACTGGACTCTCTGAATGTGGCTGACAATGGGGGCTGACTGATAAAGGCACTGGGACTTGTTTCTACTGCATGTACTGGCGTTTTGGGACCCTAGTCTATTTGGATGCAAAGCTTCCTAGGCCTGGATGTAAGGGGGAGGGCCTTGGACTTCCCACAGGGTAGGGTTCCCTGCCCTCTCTTAAGGGGGGGGGGGAGGGAGGAGGTTGAGTGGGGGAGGGGAATGGGAGGAGGGGAGGAAGTGTAAATTTTTGAATGGAAAAAAATAAAAAAAAGCAAATGACAATGCAAGACTAAAATGAATAACTTTTTAAAAAAATACTTGCATGAAAGAAAAGAACTAGGTGAGGCTAGGAGAGCCGGTAGACCGCAACCCAAATCTTATTGCTCTAAGAGGAGGGGATGCTCAGTGGAAATGAACTGTTCTACTCAGGAAGTCCAGAGCCAGGCCAGCTGCCAGGTACCCGCCCTTGTAGCGAATCGCTGTTGTGTGTTAGCAGTGTTTGCCAACGGGAGCCGTAGCTTCTGAGAGAACGCAGGATGGTTCCAGGGCAGCAGCTGAGCCACTCTGGCACACAATAGCAAGGCAGTGCTGTCAATGCCTGTGTTACAAGGTTGTAAACTGTTTGGGAGGAAGGGAACTGGAGGTGCCATGTATAAACTCTTCACTAATCGAACACTGAAGAAATGAAACTTGGATTGTGTCTTCATCTCAGCCCAAATTTGCACTTGGGGTTCCCTGAACTAGTGGAGTACGGGTTACCTCTTTCTGCTGTGTGGAGACTAGCACCTAACGCTCTTTAAGCTGCCAGTTACCAAGTTCAAAGTAATGTTGTGGAGGCCATCCTACAGTAGGCACGATGATGAAATGTTTATATCAGATGGATCTGTGGTAATTTTTGAAGTATTTTGTACTGTATTATTTGTTTCCATTTGAGGAAAGTGGAGGGATCAACTGTTCCAAGGGTTTTTCTTTCCATGAGTTGGAAAGTTAGAGCTTGTGTAGCCCCTGATGTAGGTGATGTTATGCTGGATGGCAGAGTCCTTGCTATGAATACAGCCCAGCATAGGATAATAAACTATTGTCTGAGATAGAGAAGTCAGTCTGTTCTGATTTCAAAGAGGAAATGGTAACTTTAAATGTGTTTCTGCAAAGAGAAACCAAAGACATGAAGACATTCGCTCAAGGATCGTGTAACTTCATTCCAGAGCAACATCTCTTCAGTCTCTCCTCGGCTGCCATCCACTTGCACTGCAGTGTGGAGAAACAGTCAAGTGTGGAGACTGACTGAGATTTTCACAGTTTGCCTTTGCTGTGGGTCTCTGTGCTAAGGCTAGCCCTGGACTCAGAGATCCTACTGTTTGCTGTGGGTCTCTGCGCTAAGGCTAGCCCTGGACTCAGAGATCCTACTGTTTGCTGTGGGTCTCTGCACTAAGGCTAGCCCTGGACTCGGAGATCCTGCTGTTTGCTGTGGGTCTCTGCGCTAAGGCTAGCTCTGTCTGCCATGGAGAGAGGAGCACACTTGTTTGGTGTGTTTCACTGGGGTAGACAATATCTTGATTTATCAGGCCAACTGCCACTGGTCAGCCCTATCCCCGAACCACCTCCTGCATGCTTAGTCTCCATTGTAAGTCATAAAATTCAGAATAGAAGAAACACACAGTAGCTTTAATGGGTCAGATGCCTTATAAAATACTTTGAACATTTCCCTTATTTTTCTGTAAATTCATATTTTTATAAATAATATTTTCTCACAAACATTAAATTGAAAAGAAAAGCTTAGAAGTATGTAACATTTGGAGTTGACAGTATTAAAGTGGTAAGTGACTGAGGTTAAGATTATTGGTGAGCATATTAGGTAATTGTGAAATTTTGTAATAGGATTATTTAATTTGTTGATTAACCCTGAAATGGTTAATTATTTTACTCAGGATCCTTTTTTTTAATTCAACACCTAGAGGAACCATTATTTATTTGCCTAGCGTGGACACATAAATTATGCAGTCATTTTTAAATGCTCCTACCCCAATTATTTAATCAGTTTTTGATAATGAACTGGAAAATTTATTTCCCTAGGAAGTATGGAGCTAGCTGTAGCAAAGGAAGACAGGATAAGCTATTAGTTACATTTGATATGCATTTATTTGAGTTAATCTAGCTAGTCATGGCTTACCATTATAGTCAAATGAGAACACACAGCAGGAACACTAAGGACTGTATCTCCATTTAATTCCTGACTTCTTGCACATTAATTTTTAAAAATGTTCTTTTGGAGAATTTAATTACATTTCGCTCTTCCTTTTGTTCCTCCAAATCCTCATACCCTTGTTCTCTTTCAAATTCATGGACTCTTTGTCTTTGTTGTTGTTGGTAGTGGTGAGGGGTGTGAGTATGTATGTGTGTGTTTGTAAGCATGTGCATATGTGTTCTTAATACACAAATGCAATCTGCTCAGTTTGTGTGTTTTTAGGACTGACCGTTTGATGTTGGATAAGCAGTTGGCATGGTCTACCATGGAAAAGACTATTTTCACTCTCAGAATTTCTTAGTTGCCCATAGTTTTGTTAACAGACTTTGTAGTTCATAGTTTTTCCACTGGAGTCTACACTGCCCTAGTGTGTTAAAAGTTAAAAAATACTTTGATTCATAATTTAGCCTAAAAGCATGAATTGACTTCCTGCATTAAGAGCCAAATTAGATGGCTCAGTGGTTAAGAGCACTGGCTGCTCTTCCAAAGGTCCTGAGTTCAATTCCCAGCAACCACATGGTGGCTCACAACCATCTGTAATGAGATCTGGCACCCTCCTCTGGCGTGTGGGCATACATGGAGGCAGAACATTGTATACATAATAAATAAATAAATCTAAAAAAAAAAAAGAACCATTACTGGAAGTTTGCTTGGTAACAATGACCAGTCCTTCTAGTTTCTAAAAGGCCCAGTGATATCCTGAATTTTCCTCACTTTGCCAATAAAGTAGTAGTCATTCAGATACATTCTTAAAGTGTGGCACATGCATCGGACTCACACTGAAGCGGGACCTAAAATTCCACTCTCTGCACACATTGGTAATAACTACTTTAGTTCCATACCAACAAAATATGGTAGAATAATGGTATAAAAACACTAGTGGAACTTTGCTACTTAAAGAAAACTGTCTGGCCATATACATACACCTAAGAACTTATAGACTACTAAACTGTATTCAGGGATTTGGGAGTGATGCTTACAGCTTAGTTTGTGAAAATTTCCAGGGAAATTCATGGGGTAAACTCAGAACTGAAAGTTTTTCAGACCTAAATAGAAATCTTTGATATGTTTGGTTCTATCTCTAACCAAATAATATTACAAATATTAAAAATTATTTTCAGGTTTTTGTCAGGCATTTTATGAAGTACTATTAGCAAAGAAAACAAGAACACATTAACTTTAGTTTATGATACCCACGTAGCAATCTCAAACACAAAAAGGCCCACTTCAGTCTGATGATAGAGTACTTAGTCTTAATAGTACTTAATAGTCGCAGCTTGACGGCGAGTGCACACTGCCTACATATGTTAGCATACTTAACAAATATCTTGCCATCCAACTGTTAGGTATCCATGATTTACTTCTGTAAGAGAAATGACTACCACTGTAGACTTTTGAATTTCTAAGTGGGAAAAGGCACCTTTATCGAACATTTCAAATAGCTTTTAAATGGAAGATGTTTGCCTTAAAAGTGTGTTATGATAGT